CAGGCAGGTGCACCTCCGGGAAGCGGCTCCTCCGGCCCAACCAGGCAGCCTTCAGGGTCTCTCACGGGGCTGACACCAACCAGAGCCACCGGTGCAGCGGGTCCTGAATCCCCCGCCCACGGACACGGCAGGAGAGTCACCGTGGCTTCGAGTCAGGGAGCTGTACCTCCTGCATCAGCAGACACCTCACTTGTGACTCTGTGAATTTTGCCTTCTTTCTGCAGCCCTCCATCCGGAATTTCTTTCAGCGAAGTCCCGTGGGTGGTCAACATTCAGGTTTTGTTTGAAAATGTGTTTATTTCCATACACTGCGCCTCCTTCCCTGTCCTACAGGACATCCAACCAGGTGAATGACCCCCTCACTGTCTGAGACCCACCTCTCCTATTTCCCATTTCTCTGTCTTTCCATTCACTAAGTCTCTCTTCAGCCGTGCTGAGAATTTCACCTGAGGTTGGGTCCATTTGAGGGTTGTGTTTTTTTTTTAATGTTTTTATTGAATTTAGAAAGGAAGGGAAATATTGATAAGGGAACCATCCCCAGGCGGCCTCCTGCACGCCCCCTACTGGGGGGTTGAGCCTGCAGCCTGGGCATGTGCCCTGACAGGGAATCAAACCCGCGACCTCTTGGTGCACAGGACGCTCCAACACCGAACCACACAGGCCAGGAAGGTCCACCTGAGTTTTTAATCTCAATTACATATTTGTATTTCTAGTTCTATTTGATTTTTATACTTTACTAGTCACCTTTATAGAATAAAAGATTATTTTTTATAGAACATGAAACCAGACTATTCTTTGTTCACATTTTCAAGGAACTTTTATTTCCTTAGACATATAAGTTACTTTATGTTCTGATAATTCCAACATCTGAAACGTCGTCTGTTATTTCTGCTGGCTCTCCGGTAGCCTTTCCTTGTGTTTCTGAAAATTTGTTTTTAGCCTGAAGATGCTCACTTTCCTTGGAATTTGCATTCCTTCCGAGCAGAGGTTCTCATCCAGGGCGATTCGCCACCCCACCCCCCAATGTCGCAGACATTTTGGTTGCTTCTGGCATCTAGTGGAGAAGCCAGGGGTGCTGCTCAGCACCCTACAAGGTACAGGACCCCCCAGATTTCCCTGCCCCAGATGGCATTGTGCAAGAGTGAGGGACTCTCCAGAGATGTTTGCCTCTGCCAGTGGCCTGGCCCTGCCAACCTGGAGCACTTGAAATCCTGCCCTCGAGGCCTCTAGGGCCACACAGGCAACTGATGTCACCTGCATGGGACAGCAGGGCAGAGGGAGGCCACTTTCCCTGTCTCCTTTGTGTAGCCAGGTTACCCCTGCAGCTGAAGGGTCAGCTTTATGTGGGAGGTCTCCTGATGACAGTCACCCTGGGGCAGACCTGTGTCCTGTCTCCTAAGTTCCCTGGCAGTTTGGCCCATCCTGGAGGGCTGAGGAGGCACAAGCCAGGTGAAACAGGGTGTGGTGGTCCAGATGGAACAGTGTGTGCAAAGCCCAGAGGTGGGAGGTGGGCTGCTCAGCTACAGCTTGCTACCAGAGCGGCTTGGGTGGGGGCCCGAGGCCGCACCATCGGGGCCTGGGTCTGCCAAGTGATGGGATCATGGAAGGATTAGGAGCAGGAGATTGTGGTTTTCTGGTCTAGAAATGTCACGGGCTGCATTTGGAGAACTGAGAAGCAGAGGGACCCCCAGTGAGGGTGGGCTCAGGGCCCGGGCTTATTAGCGGGACTGGTCATGGGATGAGAGAGGGAGGGGCAGATCCAAGAACCATGAAGGAGGCAGACTTGGGGAGGTCCTGGTGGGCAGGCCCCACCTCATGACAGGGACCCCTCCTTGGCCGGCACTGGTCTAACCACTGCACTGCATGTCTGCCTGGGTGTTGGCGACCGTATCCTACCCTTCTGGACCTGCCCCCTTCCAGGAGGACCTGCCCCAGCCTCCTCCCAAGTCCTGCAGCTCCCCTTTCCCTAGCAAAATGCTGTCTCCCAGCCCAGATCTGGGGCCAAGCTGGGGTGGGGTAAGGATGTGACAGGTCAGGGTGTGTACCTGGTGGGGCTTACCCTGCACCCCTGGTGAGGGCCACATCGGAGCAAACTGGTGACCACAGCTTGCCTTGGCCAGGTTGCCTTGGCCAGGTGGACCCAAGGTTCCTGAGCCTGGGTCACAGATTGCTCTGTGGGGCTTGTCTGGGTTGAGTCGTGGCAGGGAGGGATGATAGTTACCCCATGTTGGTTTAGGGTCCAGAGTCTGTGTGGAGGGGCAAGCAGGCCATTCGTCCAGCCTCACTCCAGGAACCTTCATCCCTCCCCTCTGGCCTCTGGAAC